GGTGCCACCTGCCCCGCATTTCCTTGGCAGTCGGTGCTGCGGCAGCGGCCAGAGCTGCCCCCGATGCTGCGGCCCCTGGCGTGGAGCACCCACGAGCTGGGGCCCCTGATCCGCCTCTGCCTCCTGGACCAGCACTTCCCGGCCTTCGTGGAGGACGTGGAGAGGGAACTGCGCAAACTCGCCCAAGAATGAGGCGCGCCCAGCTCTGGTGATTAAAGGTTGAAAACCAAGGCCCTGGGGGTTTTTTGTCGGTGTTTTATTTTTAAAAACAGGTGAATCCACTTTTTATACATCATTGCACTTCAACAAATACACAGAACACGAGTTCATGCAGCTACAGTTACGCACATCATGAGAACCCTGGTAGGTCTATTTCTACAATCTTTAAATCATGAGAAATTACAGTGTCAAACTAAAGAGGAATAACTAGTTGCATAGAATATCACCATGCTGTAACATTTCATCATTTAAACTAAAAAAAAAAAAGGAAAAGAAAATTATAAAAGTTTGCCTGAATTGAATGTACAAGAATATGTCGAACACATCAGTGCAAAAGGATTTGAGAATTTACATGAGTTAACAAAAAAAAAAAATCACTTAAAAAGCAATCATATATATATATTTATAAACTGAAGGTTTGTTTTTGTTTCCAACTGCATCCCACSACCACCACCACCAGCCCCTGGCACCACCCAGCCCCGATGCCCGACAGGACACCCCGCGCTCCATGGTTAAAGCCCTTAAGGAAATTTCAATGTCCCTGCCGCGAGCACCGGCCTGGCATCGCTCCCTCCTTCCAGCCATACAGTAAGGAATGAATATCAGCAGCTTCAAAATGAACCACAACGACTTCTGGTTTCCCCTCCCCCAAATATAAATATATACTGTATATATCTTTAAGTTTTGCTGTACTTTACAAAAGAAGTCTCACTAGATGGCAGCGGTGCGGTTTGAGCGGTGCCGAATTTAACAGCTACAGGAAGTAAAAAACAGCGCATGCGTGAACCCGCCTGGCTACTGCTTGTGTAAAGAGAGGAAAGGAGGAAAAAAAAAAAAAGCAACATCCACAGCACATCAAGCCCAAAAGAGTTTACACCTTCTACACGGAAGCATTATTAAAATTCATCTGGCTAGGTCATCCTTGCAGGAGAGGCTAAATAAGGCATGCGTTAGACAGTCATATTGTTGCTCACTTGGAAAGGAAAGAAAAAAAAGAAATCAGACAGAACTGGAGTTCTAGAACCAAGAGTTCCAACCCTTAAATTTAGCAGGTCATATTGCCATCAGTCTCTCAGAAACTTAAAGCTCTAAAAAAGAAAYGAGAAAGAGGTGCTAGTCAATGGTGAACAGCGTGAGCCGCCGCAGCCTGCAATCCCCGCGCTCCCACCGCGGGGCACGGCTCCCGCCAGCCCCAGCTCCACCTCGGAACGGGCGGGCAGAGGGCTCGGCAGCTTTGGCTAGCTTTTAGCAAGCAGGTCCTTCCACCACCCGCCTGTCCGAGGAGAGCAGTGTTTGGTACCCCCCAGCGCTCCCCGGGGCGCGGCAGAAGCCGGCGCCATCCTCGGCGCGGTGGGAATGTTCTAATCCAGGGATCGCGTTTGCTGCCGCGCCCCCCGCGCTCCGGGCAGGAGGGCTCAGCCTGCCTGCTCCCAGCCGGGYGCAGGCAATACTTACATGATGAGSATTTTTAATTTGTGTTTCTCTGGCGTAAGTTTTTGTCTTTGTGATTGTTTGTAGAATTGGTTTTCCTGCGGGAAGGAATGCACCAARATCAGTCACAGATACAGGAGAAATGGATGGTATTCGTACCTCATTAAACAGCATTTCACAATTCCTCCCTTTAACGGGCTGGAGACAACGCAATTTCAGACTTTATTTTAGCGCAGTATTTGTTTTCTAGCAAGATGCTACTTTTCTTTCCCTCGGTGCTAAGATTCGCACCAACGGGTGCGACACCATCTGTAACGTCACATGCAATATCAATCCTATGATTTATCACCTCCCACAACCCCCCAGATTAACCCAAATAGTGGGCTTTTTCCCTTAAAACACTTACATTGGCCCAGCTGGTTCATCATCTGCAGCAAGCGTGGCGATGCACCCAGAGAGAGACAAGGGAAGGAAAGAAAAAGAGAGTCAGTGTTTGCAGGGGCCGCAACRCGAGCAGCAAATTGAACTATCTACAGCATCAAAGGCCATTCCGGTCGGGAGTGCAAGGATCATGAGTTACTGTTCTGGATTCGGGTTTAATGGCAGGTATGTTGCTTCAATGGGTTTAGTTAACACTTGGAATGCTGGTCATGAAGGACTGCAACTGGAGCGGACAGATTGGTGCAACATGGTCAAGGCTCATCTTGTCCCCAAGTTCCAGTGGTTCAATCTCATAAAAATTTGATGAGGAGACAAACCAACGGTTCAGTTGTAAAATCCTGCTGGATGTTTGCTTGCATTGACTTTTTTTTCATAGATATTTTAATTTTTCAGCCATTTTTCCACTGCTCATGGGTAATTCCTGGTACATACCCCAGAGGGTACATCATCCCCCATGGATCAAACAACCTCTACATTCCCCATTTTGTTCAATGTTTGATTAGAAGGGACCAGGTTTGGAGGAGGCTGAAGGGGAACTCTGGATTCCAGCCCCAACCATGGTCCTTGGGCAGCGGCACCCAATGTCACCGGGAGGAATCGAGGTGCTGTGACACCTCYGGACACGCTTCAGCTGCAGAGGGCTGACAGCATCGTCCTGCCCGCGGCCCTCGGCAAAACWGTTCTCATTTAAGAATTGGCTGGGGGAAAAAAGAATCTGCCAATGAGGAATGTCTCACATTAACTCTCTCATGACCAATTGGACATTTTTGGCATTGTCAAACACTGGATTTTCTCCCGCGTTGCAGCACAGAGACAGAAATGCATTGACACCACAGTACAAGAATCAATCCAGGAACCTAACACTCCCACAGGTGGATTCTGGGGGTTCCTGGTTCAGGCACTTCACAGTTGCCATTCCCACCTCGAGCCAGAGGGATTTTTCAGGGAAGTCTTTGAGAAACTCTCAGCAGGATTCCACAAGGGTGCTTAGTGCACATGAAGCAGTTATGGAAATTACAGTCTTACAGTGTAGGCATCCGCATGAGCACACGCCAGGAGTAATGTCAGGGAAAGGGACATTACTCCACCTGGGCCTCCAAGGCAATGGAGAGGCAAAGCCACCGCTAGCACAGACAGTGACCGGAACAAAAAAATACTCCAAAAATAAAGAACTAACCACAAACCAAGAGCTGTACAGCCAAAAGAACAGACTAGCGACACACCAGTGTCCACAGAATTCCAGTACCAGCAACAGGAACTATCGGACACGGTACAGAGAACTGGGACTAGGAAGGACAGCCAGACATCAATGTGCTGTTGTATATACAGTGAGATATACAGAGACACATCAGGTACTTGAACACAAAGCACAGCAGAGGAATCTACAGCTTCCTTCCACAAACATCTCGGGGAATCAAAGGATCCGAGAGCAGCCGCGCTCCGGGCGCGACGAGCCTGGCAGGGATGGCGAGCCCCGGCCCCCAACAAGGCCAGCGCTGCCTCCGGCACCCAGCTCGGCTCCAACAGGCACCATCGACAGCTTTGGGAGTTTGTTTGGCTAGACTTCAGCGATATCAAACTGCACCGTGGACACTCGCTACAAAATGACCGGTTTCCACTTCTCTGCTCAAAGAATTAAATATGCCCGTTTCAGATCAGCAGGTTTGTGTATTTAAAAAAAAAAAAAAAGTGCTTCACATTTACAAAGGCTGCCATGGGTGATTCCTCACAAAGATCCCACAAAAAAGCCTGCTGGAATACTTTAACTAGATGGTGGATCCCCACCACTCCTCCCTGTCCCATCTCTAACCTAAACCAGAGATAAAAGGACTGAGGSAAATTCCCAGTCAGCCGCTTAGTGCTGGAAAAGTATCCCCAGTACAGTACAGACACAGACCGAACCCTCAGCAAAACCAGGGGCAACAGAACAACAGAAAAACCAGTACAAAATCAGACTAAAGAAAAGGTTCAAAACAGCAAACTGAAATCCAAATTAGTTGTGAACGTGAATGAGGAAGTTTTCAAGAGTGTTAACGTTATGACTTGTGCGTTGTATAGACTGAAGCGGAGGTTAAACAAACTCCAAAGCATGCAGAGCTCTCACTTACCACCATTTTTTAAGGGTATGATGCAATTGAAGGGGGAAAAAAAAAAAGAAGTCATAGTAACCGACAAGATCAATATAACCCGAAGCTTTATGCCACAGCCCTGCTCTAGGACGGTCAGTGACACCTACGGCGCGGGGACAGCRCTGCCGGCAGCACTCACTGACCACGCCGAGCCCCTCCTCCTGCTGCGACTGGGGGGCATCTGCAGGCTCCAAAACCCCACTGGTGACAGGACAAAGGAATGACGCCACACACGCAGCAAGGCCCTTCCCGTGGGGCGGAACGACCTGCTGCGTGGTGCCCCAAAACCGCGCGTTTCTGAMGCGAAAGGGGAGAAGGGCTGCTTGTGTTTAACACGTGGAATCAATCCCTGCAGGCAGAAATAGCTGGGAATTAAAACTGCAAGATGATGACAAGTTGATTTCCCTCAGCTCCTCCACTTGCATAGGAATGTGTTTTGTGCCCCCCCCTCCCCCCCAATCCACTTTCAGCCTTAATTTACAAGGCATTTTCGATGTCCCTCCATTTTTTTCCCCGCCTTTGGAAAGCTACAGGGTTTATTTTTAATATCGAATTAATCTTGGGTAGCATCTTGTGACTGGTGGAAGTTAAAAATGAAAYGCTAACAGGTTCTTCCAGCACCAAGATTCCAAATTTTTGCATCTGAAGGGATTCTAGAGCTTGGCTCATGCTTTAAAACCTGCAAAGAATCAATCCCATTTGGTCTGGGTTGGAAGGGACCTTAAAACCCATCCTTAAAGCCATGGGCTTAAACCCTCCACTGTCGCAGGTTGCTCCAAGCCCTGTCCAACACTTGGATATTTCCAGGGATCCAGGGGTAGCTCAAATACTCTGAAGGAGCAGCCAGGCCTGTGAAAACCTCATAACTTCCTAACCCTGACAGATTTTAAATGTAGGAGAGAAAAATGTGGATAAAAGGAGGAGAAAAAAAAACCAGCAAAATTATTTGTTACAAAAGGTAAAACGGTTGCAGTTAAAACAGTTTGTTTCTT